AGTTCTTAATAGTACTACTAAGTGATGCGCTTCTGATGCTTTTTAACTAATCAATATTCCGTAATAAATGTTGCCATATTTTTCGACGACATCTTGCTGAACAGAACCCTAGAATTGCGATTTAATCTAAATGCGTGCTGCTGATAAGTAGTTTTTAATGAAAATGAATATTACTAAGAACTATAGCGTCCTGCTGAGCATTGTATATATTGTCTTGCTGTGCACTATGCTGTCTTGGTGAGTGCCTTATCGTCCTGCTAAACACTTCTTTTTAATGAAAAATATATACTGCTATGCAATATGGCATGTACGAAGTATTCATAGGAATAAGGCTTTTTATGATGATTAATCGGAAAAATTTCGGGTTCGCTTCGAAATTTTGACTTCCCAATTCAATCAACAAAAAAATCTTTTTTTTTTCTTCATTTACAATCAACTCTTATATATCTACAGTGTCCATTGAGATGATACTCAAATCAATCTTGTTGACCCAAATGATATAAGTAAATTTCAATTACGTAAGAGATATTCTTGATTGATACATTGTTATTTTTTATGATACGACCATGCTACATGTGCAATCATATAGGTTAATAGCACAGAATTGAATTATGTTTTTCTTTACAAAAATAACAACAGAAGATAAATCTATTGTTCTTTAATGTTTTTCTAGTTAATTAACAATGGCGAAGAAGTTTAATATTCGTGAATGGGTCCTATCTGTTAAGTATGTATTCTAAGTTTCAATATTTTCTTTTGTTTAATAATATTTCTCTATTTAGATATTGGTCATTGCTTTTCATTCCTCATATGTCAGTCTGTTTAATTTTTTTAATTTATATTCTAATGGGTGCTAGTATTATTCAAGAAATTGAGTCATGTCAACAAGAAACTTCTTCATCAATAAAAAATATTCCACGAGAACGTCTTATATCAAAAATAATTGAAAAACGACAAACATTGGATATTGAACAATATAAAAAATATGTTTCTAAACATATTGATTTGTATGAAGAAGAAATTAAAAATAAACAGAAAGATATTCAAGAAAATTCATCATGGGACTTTTCGAAATGTTTTTTCATTGTTGTAACATCATTAACAACTATAGGTAAGAATTATAAAAATCTTTTTCTAATTTGAATGGTTGGTTTGTTTTATTATTTATAATTTATTTTCAAAGGTTCAAATGAATTTATACCAAAAACAAAGTTAGGAAAATTATTTCTAATGATTTATACAGGATTTGGCATTCCATTAACATTTATTTTCATATTTGATTTAAGTTATTTAATAAAACGAATAATTAACTATATTTCATTGATTATTTTTCATGTTTATATATCAAAATATTTTCTTCATATTCGTCGATTATTTGTTTTTCGTTTTATTGATAAACAATTAAATATTTCATTTGAAGAAGATGATGATGAAGAAGATTTAAATAGATTAAAATCTTCTTCAACAATTCAACAATATATTAATAATCTTCTAAATATAGTTAAAAATTTTAATGATGACAATGATTTAACATTAAAACGATTAATATTAACTATTTTTATTTATATTCTTATTGGTAGTTATTTTATATCATCCAAGTCTATATTTGATAGTTTTTATTTATGTTTTACAACTATATTTACAATTAGTTCAAATAGAATAATTGATCAAGAAAAGAATTTATTTTTTTTATCTATTTATTTAGTTGTTGGTCTTGCAATTGTTGTATTGTGTGTAAAAACTATCAAAATAAGACTAGAAACATTATTATTGAATTTTGGAAAGATATTGCTCAGAAACCTATTAGAATTTAGTCAACAAATAGGTAAAGATCATAAAAGTTATTTCAATGAGTTTTTATTTATCAAACTTTCTTTACAATAGGTTCTCATGATTTAAATACTGATGATTTCTTAGAAAATAACGAGATTAATTCTTATCCTGCTTCGGAATCTGTTGTTTCTCGACAGCAATATATAACAAATATCATATCATTAGAACAATCATCAACAACTCGTCCTATTGGTATAGCAGAACCATTACGTCGTATTTCAACTGATCTTATTCGAGTACTCAAGACTAACGATAATAATGATGAAAAAACTTTAAATAAAAGCATTCAAGTTAATACCGTGATCCGACGATGTGATCGTTGTGCTGAATTACCACTGTCAAGCTTACCACTTAGAAAAGCTAGACATTTGTCAACTTCATCATCTCCAGTGACTGATAATAGTTCAAGTTGTGAAGATGATGATATTATGGAATTTCCTCCACCTAATTTAGATCGATTACGTAAAAGGCGTGCAACACAAGTAGCAAAAACGATTATTAATCAAATGGGTATACAACCACGATTATCATCAATTGATGAATTTACATCACCAATAGGAATACTACCAAAGCAACGTCAACATTCACCATCTTCATCACCAGTTTCAGTGCGATGTTCAGTAAAAGTATCACGATCACCTTCACTTGAATCTACATGTAAATGTGAAAATAGTCATAAAGAATTTTCGGAACTTTCTAAACAAATTTCGTCATTATTAACATCACATGATGATTGAAAATTAAATAAGAATGAATATTGTACGATTATAATTTCTTAAAATTTAGTTGTTGCTTCACCATGAAGTCAAAAACAAATAACAATGTTTTTTTCTTGTGGTATAAAATATTTTTAATGTTTTTCTAGCCTGTACTTACTCTTTTTTTGTCTGCTTATTAAAAGAAAGTATATGTTTATTACAAATTTCATATATTGATGATTGTGCCAATAATAGGATTGACAGTATAACAAGTTAAGATTTTTCACAATTTTCATTGATTTGTTTAAATAACTACGAAATAATCACGATTTATCATCAAAATCGAGCCAGTTTTGATCACATATGTAGACATAAATGACTTCCAAATACGTGATCAATCACAAAGGATAACCTTAATCTCTTTATTCTTTGCAAAAATGTATAAAATAATCAAATTTGTAATTTATCTATTAACTACGTTCGATACATATCTACTTCTCTTTTTTTTTGACAAAAGCAAAAAAGAATCAATAGAAACATCAATATTCTTCATAAATATTAATTACGTATGTGTCATAAAAAAAGACATTTAACGTATTTCGAACACTTGATTTCAAACTACTTTATTAAATGATATGAAAATAATTATATAATTAATAATAAATAACAATATCAAATATTGAATTTGGATGCATTTTTGTTTCTGATATTTTGTTCAGAAAACAAGATGATAAAGTGATAGGTGGATAACTTCGATTCTTTTTTTATGCCAATATTAAAATTGACAAAAAAAAAAGGAAAACAATGTACGATCTGCTTCTGTTTTGGATTATCGCTAATCTGAAGAGACTATTTTCAATAATCAAACGTCATTTACATTAAATATCAATAAATTATGAAAGAAAAATGAAAAAGCACTATCAAAATTATTAACAACCTTTCTGTGAAGACAAGATTATTATTTCCTCATTAACAATTTTTCTTCGACTTCTAAAGAATTCTTCCCGAATAAACAAATATGATGCGTCATCGATTGTGTGAGAGTGTGATATAGTACTTTATACGATCGTCATTTACGTCAAGAATCGGCATCGTCTGAAACAAATATCTTAAAGTTTCATTTAGACATCATATTATGATGAATAATTAATAATTTTTGTTCAGTTCGATCAAGCAACGTCACATCCATCATGTTTTCATGTTCTAGTGAGTCTTCTAATATTTGGAATATTTTTCTCTGATTATTATACACTGAAAATTTTTTTTTCGTCTCTTCATATAAGTATCGCTTTACTTATTCTGAACTACTTTACAAGTTGATTGCTAGCTTTCAATAAGCTCCAAACGATGCAATAAACTAGAACTTTTGAAAATAAATACCGATTGCGTTTCATTGTGATCAAGGTCGATCTAAATATTAAACAAATGATATAAGCTATCTAATTTTTACGGTTCAATTTCATCTTTCCTTCGATTACTAGAAGGTACAACGTATAATATGACTCCTTTTACTTTTAATTATTAGCTAGGAAATGTTTCTTGAATTTGAATCCTATTCTCCCTAATATTTAAAAAGAAACAGTTCTATTCTTTGCCTGTTTCAATAATCCCATACAAGTTGGCTTTTTCCCAATATGTTCAACATATATGCTACTCAATCTTTGCAAGAAAAACTTCGTCAACATCTATGGTTGCATAGATTTCTCTACAAAAACGATTATATGAATCTAATGTATTTTATCTGTGAAAACTAGCTTTTCAGTCACGTCAAAAACATCGATCTGAATAGCTGTGCCATTAAATTACTTACTATTTATAGATGATAACTTATGATAAGAATATGACTGCAGACAGTAATCGTATTTTACACGTAAATACACCATATACGATCGTACAAATGTTGTAATTTAACCGTACACGACTAATTTAACAAAGCATGTGTATAGATACGGTACATTTACTACTGGTAGACGGTAACCGTAACAAAGTATCAGAGTTCACTTGCCTTTCAATGTAAGATATCAAAGGTAATAAATTTTCTTTCCTACTACAATTCCTATGCGTCGTCATTTGATTATAATGAAATAAGTCTCCTTTTTCCATATAAGAAAAACAAGTATACTTTCTGTACAGATGACACTAGCATACAAATATCGTGTAAAATTAATAATTACTAATTTTATATAAACATCGAATTATGAAATTCTCTTGAAAGAATAATCCTCAATTATGAATAAGATATAGTCTTATTTACATTATTTAAGAAATCAATTTCTTAACGTAAACTAACCAATAGAGAAAAGGAAGAAATTTCGTAAAAAATGGATATATTTATTTTCATGAAATAAGAGAGAGGTGCTAATTTTTTTCTCATCGAACAAAAGGATTTTATCACTACGAATCAATATTGACATTATTAAATATTCGAAAATTTGATTTTCATTTTAGATAACAAAAAAAAATACAAAAATGGTTTTCATGAAGCCTGAAAGTGCTCTACGACGAGCTGATGGTAAATTAATATTGTTTATATTTAAATTATTAATAACTATTTTTATTTTATCATCTAAAATTTAGAATTAATTGATGTTGGTAGAAAACAACGTGCTTTGGAAACACTCTTTGAAGTTATTACATCACGTCGTCATCGAACATGGACGAAAACACATGAACCATTAATGGAAAAATTTTTGGATTTATGTGTTGAATTAAAAAAAAGTCAATTGGCTAAAGATGGTCTTCATCAATATAAAACAATTTCACAAACGGTTAGAATTTCATTGTTTATTGAGTTAAGAAAACAAAAAATACGAAATCATTTTTATTTTTTATTAGGTATCGGTTAAATCACTTGAAGATGTTATCATGAAATTTCTCAAACAAGGTGAACAACGATGTTTAAATGCTCGAAAAGAAGCTACAAATGCTCTTGTGGATATTGATGATTTAGAAGTTCTACAAACACCTGAAAGGTATTTAAAAATGAATATATTTTTGTTCATAGGACCAGTTATATGTCTTATTGAAAATAGTGCAAAAGTTTTCTCATCTAACGGTAGATTTTGACCAAAGACTCATTCACAACATTTAGAATGCTCATAGTAGGTTTTATAGTAGTGTTCATTTTGAATAATTTATTTTTGATTGTCTAAAAATATTTCGGAATCTCTATTTCTGTTTTATATATTACATTTGAGAAAAAATATCTTTGTTATATACGAGCTTCTCGTGCTATTAAATTTTATACAATTCAATATAGTTTTAAATAAAAAAAAAATATAATTCGGATTGGACATATTGAGGCAAGTAATAACGTCAAAATAGATAGCTACTAGATGAACTTATTTTAATATATATAAACATAAGGCAACAAATTTTCCGAAACGTTAATTTTTAATGTCATTCTTATTCCCCTGAGAAATAGAATAAAAAAAAAACGTTCCTTGAGGATACTATTTTCTATGTTTAGATATGAACTAGAGTTGTAACCGGTCGGTCGGAAAATTCTATTGATATGTCATTTTTTATTAATAAAATATGTAGAGAGAACGTTTGAATACATTTATGAAAATAACCAAACAGTTTTATAATTTTCAAGATTTCGACTTTTGCTATGGAGTAAATGGTTCTTTTATCTATGTTGTACAGAGAACCATCGTATATTTCATTTTTGAAAAAACTTTAGTGTAACAAGGTAAATGAGTGTTCTTTTCGAAGATATTTCTATTAATCGATTGAAAATGATTAGATTCTACTTTTATGTGTACATGTACCGACTGCTAGGCTGACAATCATAATTAATATTTTTCTTAGGTGTATAGAGTGATGACTTTGATATGTTGAGTTAAAATCTATTTGTCACCTTCTGCTTGAATTCTGAAGGAATTGTCTTATTAGTTTTATTGTTATTCAGAAGACTTGAACTTGATCATTATAGATTTCCATCTAAAATTGTGAATCGATGCCTTGATTAATAGTGATGACTGATGTTTTGTTTGATAACGTCTTTTTTAAATTTTGTGAAATTCGAGAAGTTTTGAGAAGAAAAAATCAAATCGTAGAGGATGTTCTGATCACAAACTAAATAACCAAATTCATGAAATGATTGATTTTAAATATCGAAAATTTTCAAAACTTCATTGTCTATTTTTGTTTCGCAATAGAATCAAGATACATTTCTATTTTTCATCTAATTTACCAATTAAAATTCTTTATTTCGATTAATAATAATTTTGTCCTTTTATCTTTTTTCTATACAGTCTTCTACTCAGTGCAGTCAGTGGTGAATCACAACAAGATCGTACTGATCGTGATATGCTTGCACCATGGTTAAAATTCGTCTGGGAATCTTATAAACAATGTCTAGATTTATTAAAAAATAATAATCGTGTTGAAAAAATCTATCAAGAAGTTGCACGAATGGGTTTTCGTTTTTGTCAACAATATAATCGTCGACCTGAATTTCGAAAATTATGTGATACAATTCGTACACATTTTACACAATCACAAAAATATTCACAACAACTGTATAGTGTGAATTTTCAATTACCAGAAACACAAGCACTTCATTTAGAAACACGTTTAGTTCAACTTGATACAGCAATTGCAATGGAATTATGGCAGGTAGTTTATGCAAAAAAAAAACATTTATAAAAAGAAAAGCTGTTAGCATAATTTCTGTAGGATTAAAATGTGAAATGTGATGTAGCTGTTCTTATTAATTACAGGGAAATTACTTTATTCTATCTATTTTGGAACACATTCTTTCATCATTCTTGTCCAGTGATACAATTAAGAAGTGTAAAATTCGACAAAAGGCTCTACTCTATCAAGAATGTAGGATAGAAGTGCAGTTGTATCTCGACTAAGTACGTAACAAAGAGAATTATGATGAATGTTACCTGATGATACATAAGGCTCTTTTTTACTTCAAAACTCTGAGAAGGAACGACTTTCTGAGTCAGGATATGGGTGTGAATCTGCTCTTGAAAGTCACTCACACCTACAAAAATCGATATAACCTTTCATAATTTTCTTTGTATTTAAGCAATCGTAGTACACTTTTACTGCGGATCTACATTTGCAATGGAGTATGTATGCACAAATATAAAGGTGTCTAGCGAATAGGATAGCTAAGATCCGATGGCACGAAGATTTTTATCCACTACTGTGCGATATTTGATTGTGTATTAACAGCATCTGTAACAGAGAGGACCGACATTGCTAAGGCGTCTATGAGAAGTTTAAATATCTAATCTTATTCTTCAACACTTCTACTTGATTGTGTTTCATAAGATTAATTGTTATTTTTAGGAAGCTTTTAAAGCAGTTGAAGATATTCATGCATTCACAACAATATCGAAAAAAACACCAAGACCACAACAATTAGCATCTTATTATAATAAAGTGGCACTCGTTTTTTGGAAAGCAGGCAATTATGTATTTCATGCAACAACTGTTCTTAAATTATATGTTTTACATAAAGAACAAAAAAAAAATATCACACATGCTGAATTAAGTCGTTTATCAACAAAAGCTTGTAAGTTATTTACTAATTGAAGATTTTCTTTGTTTTAATCAATATATTTTTAGTATTATCTATACTTTCAATTCCATTACCAACACCACGAACACAAATTGATGAACATTTAGAAACGGATGAAACAATTAATGAAAAACAAAAACGTTTAACAAGTTTATTATCATTACAACAAATTCCAACACGTGCAAGTCTTATACATGATATGATTAAACAAGGTGTTTTAAATTTTGTTTATCCTGAATTAAAAAATATGTATGAATGGTTAGAAGTTGAATTTAATCCATTAAAATTATCAGCTAAAATGGAAGAAAGTATTCAATTTGTTGAAAAACTTGCTCAACCTGAATATTCACAATATATGCCAGCATTACGTGATGTAACTGTTGTTCGTTTACTTCAACAAATTTCACAAGTTTATCAAACAATTGAATTAAAACGTTTTATTGATCTTGCACCACCTATGGATAAACATCGATTAGAAAAAATTATTGTTAATGCTGCAAAAAATAATGATGTTCAAGTTCGAATTGAACATAAATCAAAAGCATTAACATTTGGTACTGATTTAAGTGTTTCAAATGGACAATCAACAACAAGTGAAACTGGTCTAAAAACAAATATTATTCAAAAAATGCCAAATGAGCAAATACGTAATCAACTTTTATCAATATCACGTGCACTTTACGCGTCAATGGAAATTATTAATGAAAAACCTAATAAAGAACGTAATGATAAATTAAGACGAGAAATTGCTCAAACTTATTATCGAGATGAATTAACACAACGTAAAGAAATATTAAAACGACGAGAACTTATTGAACGTTATAAAGAAGAAAAAGAAAAAGAATCAATATCAAAGGTAAGATAAAAACAATATCACCGGTTTATAATTTGTTCGATATGCCTATGATCTATTGTTTTCTCTTTCGTTTTAAAATTAGATCAGACAAGCAGAAATTGTTTCTCGACATCAACAAGATGAACGTGAAAAAGAAGATAAGAGTCGTCGTGAAGCTGATCAAAAACGTCGTCTTGCTGAAGCAGCATTAGAACGTGAAAAAGAAGAACATCGTTTTAATATGAAAATTGCTATTGATAAATTACGAGAATCTGAAATAGGTCGTAAAATAATTGAACTTATTGGTGAAGAAGAATTATATAAATATGATCCTGAATCATTAAATTCTTTACATATTGATGCTGTTATAAAATATAGTCGAGAACAAAAAGAAAAATTAAAAGTTCAATATAAAAAAGTTGATTTTCTTATTCGTGCATTCCATGAAGCAGAAGTTCCTTTAATGCAAAAACAAAATGAAGATGAATTACGACAACGTTATCAAATTCAACTTGCTGAACGTGAACGTGCTATTGAACGACGTGAACGTCTTATACGTATGGACAATGATAAAAAAGATTTTCTTCAATCAATACGTGGACAAAGACATGAAGATTTTGTTTTACATATGCAAGCATTTGAACAACGTTTAAATGTAGCACGTCAACAACGTTTAGAACAATTACGTCGTGAACATATTGAAAAGAAAAAACAAGATTGGAGAAAACAAAAACAATTAGAAAAACAACAAAAACAAAATGAAAAACAACGAAAAATTCAAGCTGAAATAGAACGTCAAAAAAATGAACGTTTAGAAAAAATACGTGCAGATGCTGATGAAAGAAATAAAAAATTAGCTGAACAAACTAGAAAACAACGTGAACGTGAAGAAGAAATTGAAAAAAAATTACAAGAAGAACGAGAAGCTTCAAGAAAGACAGTAGCTGAAAATCGTCGTTCAACTACTCATTATCAAGATAAAGATAAAACCGATAGGTTTGTATTTTATTAAAACTTTTATTAATATTTTTTTTTTTTTTATTTTGTAAAAATATTTTTTCAGTGGACCATGGCGACGTACACCACGTGATAATGAGAGTACTCCACCATCATATGCTGATTCGAAGGATAGCCGGCGTAATCGAAATGAAGATCAACGGTAAAAATTAGAAATTGTTTTCTTTTTTTCTTATAAGACTATATTATCAATTTTAGTCCAAGGGGTAATGATCGACGTTTAGATGAACCATCATTAAATAAAGGCTCATCAAGTGATTCATGGAAATCAAAACCAAGATCCGATCAACAAAATCGTGATGATAGACGAGGATTACCATCATCACAACAACAACAACAACAACAACAACAACAATCATCACCATCATCATCAGAGCGATGGACAGAACGAAATTCTGAAGCAGGAGGCAAATGGCAAACTGTGGAAAAGAAACGTCCTAATCAGTAAGAGTTTTAAACAATTTCTTCAATTGAATGTTTAATTTTCTTTTTGGTGAAACACAATCTAAAAGGGGATGTTAAAATAAATAGAGTAGAAATTTGCATCTCTCGCACAGTGAACAGCAACTCAATAAAATCAATTTCTGTAACCTATTAAATTTCCAATCGAAAATACGAACTCAAATATATATACATTTTAAAACTCCTACATTGATTGTTTCATTCTAACCATAATTCATAGGTAGTTTCGAACTGTGAAGTTCTAATCATGAAATGTTGATAACTCATGAAGGAATTTTTCTAGAAACTAAATCGTTTCTAGATCAAGGTTACATTAATTTGATGAGTGTTGGTGAACATAGAAAAAGTCTACAATGGTTTAGTTTTCTAGGCCTCGATTCTTATAATATTGAATTTCTACTGTATATTTAAACATAATTTCGTAGTCTTCTTGAGATTACGTTGAAAATTGACTTAGAAGGTTCTATTTGAAAATTTGCATAAATAATATTCTTGATCTAACTAATTCGTTTCTGAAATTTTCAGTGTTTTTCTTTGCTTTCGTCGTGAGATACGAATATTTAAAATTTTATTATGTAAAAAAAAAACAAATGTCGTACTTGCATTCGTATTTTACGACAGAAGGAATAGAAAAAAGCTGAAACTTTCAGAATGAATTAGTTTCATTTAGAACATGGCTTGTGTAAAAGCTTCGAGTCGAAACCACAAAGTCAACTTTCATCATGACCTGAGGGAGACAAAAGGAATTTTGTTGAAAAAATTCACTAAAAAAATCTAGTTCTCCGAAATCTTACGAGTAAAAGAGGCTTGATGAACACAGATAATCAGTATCAAGTGTCAACCATAATTACACAAAATTCCAAGTTATTAGCTACAATAATTGTAAGAATTGTGTCTGGCTTCCTTTTCGGTTCACTATGTTCCCATGCTCCGGATCACAGATCGCGACAGACTTTGTTGATATACGATCACAGATTTACGTTTCGTTACAATATTTGAAATACTTTCTTATTACATTTTTGAAGAGGAATGCTGAAGAAGTATGTTGCGAAATAGATCAGAATAAAAATATCTTCCTGTAATTAGCAATTACATCATGTTTTTCATTTTAATCCTGCAAAGATGACACTAACAAGTTTTATATTTATTTATTGATTTCATGAATAGATCACGACCTGATAATGATCGTCCATCAAGTCAACGTTCAGGTGAATCATCGTCATCCAGTGGACTTTGGAGATCAAAAGCACGTACTACAGATGAAACACGGGATAATCCTCGTGGTGGTGTCTCGAATCCATCTGATAATTGGCGACAAGTGAATGAAAGTAGTAGTTGGCGCACACGAGAAAAACAACGTTTAAATAGGTTTGTTTATTTTTTGAAAAAAAAACGATTGATATTCTTAAATAATTAATTTTAGTTGGCGTGCCAATGAAAGCGACGAGGAAAATGAACGTTCTACATCTGATAATCAACATATGGGCGGTAATCGAGAATAACTGGCCTAGTGAAATAACAAGTGATTCCACATCATCTTCTCTTTTTTTTTAAACATTCTTAATGGGTATCATCTCTTATGTGTGTTTCTCTTACGATATTCACACAGTTATATCTTTTTTTTTTGTTGAAGAAAACAGAAGAAAAAAACTAAAATAAAATATGATACTTTCGTTCTTTGAAAATAAAGTTTTGTTTTATTTATTGGTAAAAGACAGTTCATATATCTGTTTTAGTTTAGAATAATTTCATAGGTCAGATAATTTATTGAAAAAAAGATTTGTTCTATACGTATGTCAGATTTATTATTTAATCGCTTATTATTAAGTTTTATTAATGTTAAAAATCGACTTGAATCTCTATTAAATTTATGTTCTATTAATGAATATCGATTAGATATAAAAGAAATTCAAATATATATAAGATCTGTATCAAATTTAATTGATAATCTTCAATATGAATTCAAAATAAATGATAATTTGAAACTGTTTTCAAATCGTTCTTTATGTAAAAATAGTTGGACATGGAAAAAAATTCAACAATTAAATAACGAAGAACAATCTTTTAACTTAGAATTACTCGCTCTATTACGTCTACAAATGTTAGCTACATGTTTTAATAAATTTGACAAACAAAAATTTCGTAAACAAATAACAAGTTCTAATATCAATAAACAATATCATTCGAATATCATGATGAAATTGATTGAAGAAGTGAATAAATCATTGTTTTTTCATAGATAAAAAGAAGCATGAAGAAAACTATCTAAAATTTATAGTATCATTTTTATTAATATTTCATTTATAGAATGCAGACATTGAACTACTATAAAAATGCTAAGAAGAGACAACAGTAGTGTCGGTGTGGGTAAAGAGAAGACCACTGCCAACACCTACATTCTTTTTCTTGATCTGCAGTTAAGTTATTCAAAGTTTATGGAGCATAAGGAAATTTCATCAAAAATACAAATGGTTTTTAAGCGTATTATCTTAATTCATAAACATCTGATATTTGTATGAATATCGTATTTTGAAAGAATACTTCACATCCTATCGATTAGTATTAAATTGAAGCTTTTATTTTTTATTTTTATTGATTCATATTTATTTAAGAATGTATTTCACTACTATCAGTTATAGACGATAGTTGCTCATGACACATAGAAAATAGTGTTGAAAATCTTCAATTAGTTTATCCTCTTTTAATTGATTGAATATTTCGACTAAACCAACAATCTCATGTGATCATATACATATCAATAAATCTTCATTGTCATTTATTCCACGATATGATCCTAACAAAAACCTTCTTGATCTTCCACAAGAAATTCTTCTTCATATATTTTCTTTTATTTGTCCATGTGAACTTATTAGTAACATAGCTCCAACATGTTGATTATTTGCTAATTTAATTCTCACACGTTGTTATTCTCATCTTGATTTATCAACATTAGTATCTATATATGATGTTCCTCGATTATTTAACCATTTATCATATCTTCAATCAATAAGATTTATTGATTGGAAAAATGATATAAGTATTTTAACATGGTCTATATGGTTTGCTATACTTTCGAGAAAATCATCGAATCTTAAAAAAATACATTTTCAAAATGTTTTTATATATCCAATATTAATTTGTCTTGTAATTGAATATTTTCCTCACTGCTTAGAAACAATTATATTTGATTATCAACAAGATAATAATTATAAAAATTTTGATTTCATTTTATGTTTACTTGGAAATGAAAATTTAAAACTAAGAAGTTTAACAGCTTCATATCAATTAGGAATTACAAATTTTGGTATTTTACAACTTGTTAAGAATCTTAATATATTAGTTGAACTTAACTTACTTAATATTAATGCAATAAATGATCAGTAAGAAAGATCATTTTTTGCTAAAAAATTTTATTTTATTTTCATAGATCGATTAAAATTTTGTGCGATAAATATTATATTTATTTAGAAACTCTGAGAATTGATGGTGCACAATTAACAGATAAAGCTTTAGATTTTATAGCACAATGTCATCAATTACGAAAACTTATGATTGAATTTTGTACAAATATGACAGGTGCAAATTTTTCTATTCCAAGTAAGAATGTATTATTCAAAAAAAAAAATAATGATTCAAATTCTTTAAAACTAAATAGAATTTTCATAAACTTGAACAATTATATTTATCAACATTAAATAATATATCATCGAAATCATTTCAATTATTATTTAATAAAAATTGTACTTTTAACTATTTACATAGTCTAACATTAGGTGAATGTCATATGATTGATGATAATTGTGTTCGGTTGATTGTTCAATGGTAAAAATAATGGATGGACCATAATGAATTGAACTTATTGTACATGCAATGTTTCAATTATTGATTATTAATATACATATATATCAAAAGAAGGAGAATTTCAAGCTCTACGAAACTGTATACTTCACTTTTACCAATAAATGTTTTTTTTTTTTAATTTCGAGGCAACTCCTATATATCCTAGAGCAGAACTAAAAATAAGCGAAAAAAAACGTTTGATATTACTACTTAGAAATTCATTTGAATAGGCTTAACACCGACTCAAATCGATAACATATTATTTATTCGTTCATACAATAAATTCGAGAAAAGGCAATAATAAGAAAACTTATCTTTTCTTGCTGTTCGTCTACTTATATTGATTACATTTTGAAGCTTGTATCTTTATGTTTGGTGTATTATTATTTTGTTCATCTTATGAATATAGAGACTATATTTTTTTAAAATGTAAATGATATTTAACATCATACTGCATATATAGACAAATTTTTATTGTTGTCAAAAATGCAATGAAGAAACCGATTTGTAGATATGACGCAGAAGGCTCCTTGGTCTTACTAGAACTAACTTTTTGATGAGATATTCTGCATCCTGAAAAATGAGAATGACTGAATGATAATATCTTATAGAATGAGGAGCAAGATGAAGCCAATCGTCATGTAACGATCTCTGATAGAGAATGGAATTCCGTATTATTTCGGTATTCAAATACGACCTTTGCAACTCCAATTTAACTAAAAAATACTTCATTACATTAAAAAAAATCACCACAAAGGATATGTTCAACTTCCTAGCAAAACTTGGATATAAGAAAGTGGATCAACTAAGTAGAGGACCGAATTCTTAATCTTTGGATACAAAACTCTTTACTGTCAAGATCCTTCATACTTTTGAAAAGCACGAGCAACAGTATGTCGCATTGAGAATATTTGAGGTATATAAATATTTGGATTGTCGTGTAAATGCAAAATAGTCTTTTTAAAAGTGAAATTCTTGGTTTTGTAATGCTTAAAGTTCTCGATATTTTTGTTTACAAATCTTTTATATGAATTAAAATGAGAGAAAAATTGTATTCATAATTAGTTCGATTCATCATGGTTCACCCACTATTTATTTATTTAGTTTTTTTTCAATATTTGTTTTCTAGTTGTCCTCATTTAATTGATTTAACCTGTTCATCAGCATATGGTATTACTGATGAAGGTTTTAATGAAATTGTAACTCATTGTAATAATCAACTTCGATATTTTACTTTAACAGGTTGCCATCAAATTTATGGTGAAATATTACTTGATGTATCAGAAAAATATTTAAAATCAATAGAATATCTTAACTTAGATAAATGTAATAAAATAGATGATATTATTTTAATTGAGTTATTTCAACGAAAAAAATTCATATCAATTGTTAATTCTTATGGATCATTAATTGAACTTTAGAAATACAAGTTTTTTTTTTTTATTTGTATCAATTATAATTTAATAAATGTGCAATCATCATTGTGAAGAAAGAAAAAATATCCTTGTCTTAGTTTCTTTTTTAATTATTGCAAGCCTAAGGTTATTCGTGTATGCACAATGTTCAATAGTGTCACGCATGATTGATAATTATGTGTCGTGCCATGTATTGAGAGAAGAAAAATGATGCTTACGTTCAATTGATTGAAGGCATTCATACAGATATACATGGAGCATGAATTATATATGAATAAGTGGTGTAATGACACTCAATTCAATACTGATGCAATGCTTATCCAACAAACACCACCATCGTCACCAAATAAAAATTTACAAGATGATTCTGATAATGATTCTCTTACAGATGTATCAAGTATTATTGAAATAAAATCATCATTCATGAATCATGATCAAACATCAAAATATAATAATGCGTCCATGGAATGTAAGTCAACGATGCAAAACGACACTTCAACACATGATCAATATGTACCTGATGATCAATTACTTCAATCATTAGTTAACTATGCAAATAGTTTTAATTTAGACGAAACTTTGTATTCAATAATACATTTAAAAAATCAATCAGATGCTACCAATTCAAATGAACAGCTATCAACAAATTATGTACCATCATTATTTGAAAATGATAGATTAAGACAGCATAACTATTGCGAAGATCTAAGACATGACGCTCAATCAACAATGATAATCAAACAAGATTCAACTAAATCAATACCTTCTCATTTTTTTTCGCCGAAAAAAAGTGAAGATGACGATAATAATGATAAACATAGTGATGATAATTCAACAGTTATGGATGAATCAAAATTTGATTGGGAATATTTATCTAATCCAATAGATTGTTCGAATAAATCATCAACAAATCTATTTGAAAATTATCAAAAAACGACTAATCTTAATGAGACAAATTCAAATTATATAGAAGATTTTCAAGAACTATCTTCAGCTAGTTCGGCAAATAACATATCATCTTCATCAATTATTATTCGTGTAAAAACTAAAGATCCTGCTATTCAACAAAATAAAGACAATCAATTCTTGCATCCACATACTTCATTAATAAAACCAGTTCCAATTATCATTCGAGAAATTTTTCATAAACCTTCTCCTTGTGATCGATCAATATCAAACCATGATTCACAAATAGTATCAACTGCTGCTAATGAATTTTATCCAATTTCGAAATCAATTATCAAGCCAAAACATAAAATAATCTATGAACCAATACCACTAACACGACATGAACATCATACAGATGAACAATCGAGAAAAATTATTATTGAATACGATCAAATCAATGTTACCGTTAATAAAAATATCAAACAAAGAAAAGAAATCAAACGTGTTAATCCAAATCAATATATTCAACAATATGGAAATTCATTGTACACAAATGAAGTCTTTCAAAACCTACTAACAAATATTATAGCATAAACTATTCATCCGATTAAATGACTTTCTTACCAATACACAAAGAAATATTTCTCGTTTCAATTATCTTAAATAAATTATATTAACATAGAAATTATATTTATTTTATTCGGAAAATTAGTAAAGAATGACAATTATTTGCTTCATTTAGTATTAGAAAAAAGTTTAGATCAAAGACAAAAAAAAAATGATGAAATCAGAATCATATTTTAAAGAATGACAAACAAATAAATGAAGTTTTTTTTATTAAGAAAAGATGCTTCTGGAATAAAAGTCAATATGGATTAGCTATCGATCTTTCTAAACTTTATTTTTTACCAGAAGTATCGGTTTAAAACAATAGAAAATATTAGGTTTTATTTAATTTGGCACTGTATAAAAATGCTTACTTTAGCCTCGATAAAAGACGGAACGTTTGTAAGAGTCGTGATCATTATCGAAACCGTCGAAATAGTAATGGCTGATAGTAACAAATCACAAAAGATAAAGTAACAGTTAAAGAATTCTTGAAGAAATCAAACTTGCAGAGTCTATTTGGTCGCACCCACACTTATACGAGGATATATTAAGAAAATTATTGTTTACATGTAAACATTCTTATGTTGACAATTAGCTAATCAAGTTTTTCACAAACTATATAATTGGTTTGTCAACAGAAAACAATCCAACAACTTTTTATTCAATTCTTTTTACCATTCAATAAATCTTTTCTTCAACATATGCTCTATATTATGCTTGGTTTTATTTTGTTATATCCTCCAAACGTCTATAGTAATAGGGCATTCCGTTCATTGGAATCGCTGTGTAAGTTAGCCATTGTTTTTTTTTCTAATACACATAAAAAAAACTATTTGTCACAAGTCACGACGAAAGCGTTGAAGAGAAAGGTAACCAATTAGAAAACTTCATTGTCTTGCTAATTCTCAATCGAACTTATTACTCTTATCCTTATTTTCAACTTTTTACGTCTTGTTTTTCAAAAATAATTTTCGCAACTTATTAATTTTTTTTTGAATTTGTGCCCCTAATACTCTCTAAGTTGAAAATAGACAATACTTTCCTTCCGTCATCATGATGATGTGTCAGCTCCGAGTTAGAAAATAGTAAGAAATAACTAATAGGAAAGAAAATTCTTTTGTAAAAATGAGTTTTTTTGTCGACAACAAAGCATGAAATCATATGAGAGCTCTTTTATAGCATATTCTGAAAAAGTTCTTTATGCTCTCTATACGAAATAAAAATTTCCATGATCATAGAACCCAATTGTCCCAGTGCACATTCATATGAGTCAGATATGAAGAGATTTTTCTATAATAGAAACATATTCAGTAAAATTCCGTTGTGTATTCATTAAGATGTTCCTTCATCTTTGCACATTCTTCTAGAAATTCAAAACCGTTTTTAGTACAAAACAATGCACTCATAATTGAATCAAATGCTGCTTTTCTCTGAACGATTTCTTTGTAGACAATCGTATTCATTCAAGTTAGCTTTGAGACTAATAACTATGCTAGTGATACATTTCACTGTGAACGAATTCCGTCTACACTATTCAAAATTCAACATAGACAATTGACTTAAATAAGTTTGACAATAAAAATTTGATTTTCGTCTTTTAGCTATTGAAATGGCAAAATATTGTCAGTGACAAATCTTATTCTTCAGAAAAAAAAGTGCTATCAAACATTGAACCAAAATGTTACGGATTGTTGACAGCATTGTTTTAAGAACGCTCTTCATAGCAACGATTGTCTCTCTTTTTTTCACTGACTTCTGAATTTTCCATCTGTATTCATCTGATTAGACTTTTCACTATACCGTTTATTTTCACCTGAGTACATCGAAAATAAAAAATAAAAAATAGAAGCAAAGAAACAAAGAAAAAAACAGAAAAGTAATCATACAAAAATAAACAAATGAAACGAAATCAATGAAAATACCATAAAACAAAAAAAAATACACTGTTGTTTATTGTTTATTATTTAATATTTTCGAATTTAATGGTATATCAACATCAATCCAATGTAATAAACCTTGATGTGTTCCAATAACAATTGCCATTTTATCTATTGTCCAATGATAATCAAGAAATGATGATGAGATATTATCGAAGGATTCAACTTGTCTCATCTAAATGATATTTTGATTTTTGTCTTAAATAAATCAAAATTAAATAAAAAAAAATTTACAGTTAAAAAACGAAAATCATAAATTTTTATTTTTGCCAGACGTGTATCATAAACTGAAATTAAATGATTAGGTGATGCTAAACTACATTTCAATTTTTCTAATTGTCCAAATGCATCTAATATTTCATTTCGAATGGGTTCACTAAATAATGAAATATTTAATCAAATGAATATTTATTACAGATTTACATACCGACTGGCTCGTTTATCCCAAATAAGTATTTGTTGTCGATGTCGACCAACAATAATATCATTTGTTTTCCATGTACAATCAGCTAAATGTTCTTTTCCATTACAATTTAATGTTAATCCAATTGCTTGATGTTCAAAATCATAAATATTTAATCGATTTTGATAAGCAAGAAGAAGCTAAAAATAAAATCATTGCGAATAAAAAGAAAAACAATAGGATTCAATTGTTTGTATATACAAGATTAGATTCAATAGGATTCCATTTTAATTGATGAAGAACTCCATAATTAGCAAATGTCAATTGATAAGATAAATTATATTGAGATGCATTATAAATTTTGACTGTTCCATTTAAATGACTAATTGCAATTTGATCAGAGGATTCATTATAATCAATTGATGATGGTGTTAAACGTATTGTTTCATCAAGCCACTTGAAAAATAAAAGAACTTAAGAAAAAGAAAATACAATAATAATTAATTTACTTTTAAATTTTGTATAGTAGAACTATCATGTTCAGTCTTATAAATCAATGAACCTTTTTGAGTTCGATTTAATGTTGGTAAAGTCGTTAAACCAACTCTAAATGAAATAATAATGTAGGTGAAGAGAACATTAGAAACCGCATTCTTTATGCCCAAAATAAAGAATATCTTATTAGTTGAAAATGTTAATAGTTTTTTTTTAAGCCTTTCTACGGTACACCATAACCATTAGTGACTGGAAAATAATTTGACACAATGTATTTTATTATTCAACCTCTTGAGGTTGACTGCAAAAATTCGAAAATATTTGAGTTTGAATCAAAGTTTTCTTTTATTTTCAAATATAGGTTCAACATTTCTTAATGTTCTTTGGGTTAACAGGTATGAGCCGGCCTTTGAAAGTACCGTATACGTTATGTTACGAATTTCTTTTTTGCATAGAATTAAAGACGGGATTGTTCTCTACATAGTGGCATAAAAATCAAGAGGTTCAGAACAATCATTTAATAATGCTCCTTTAAGAGACTGACAAATGAAGGAAGATTTTTTCAAATTACTTTCCAATAACCAACTAATAAAAAAAACACAAACACTATTGTCTTTGAATCATACTTGATCTGTTTTCGAGATGGTCGATAGATAGTATTTGAAAGCCAACAT